CAATAAGTTATGACAACATATGTTTTACATCGCTTTAACTCGTCAACATAAGTTAAGCAATTCTTTTTTTTTTTAAGTTATACAAGATTCAACTAATTTTTAAGTCAGTTTAATGTAATTAAAGTTGAAATTACTTAAACATCCAAGTTGATTGTACTTAAAAAAATTCAGGCAACAACTTTTTTTTAGCGTTATGTCATTGACCCATGATGGTACTGCACATCCCACTTTGGATGGAAGACAGCAACATTTAGATAGTAGTCTAAACAGTAACTGATTTTTTTTTAGATTATTCATTTGCATAGTGTGTCTGTATTTTGCAATACAGAAATGAACTATACATCGAATCTAATAACAAATTAGCCCAAGCCACTGCTAACCTCAGCGCCAGTCACCTGCTGGTTCAATTCGTGTTTTAGAAAAATGATGTGCTCTTAAAAAAGCAGTATTGTAATCTCCTTACTCGAATTAAGCTCCCGTCACATCAGCCTGTGTGGGAGACTTTACCGTCACCATTCCTGGTGTTCTCAATTCCCACATCAAAAGACAGAGTTGTGTTTCTTCAAGACATAGCAGACGAGCTTAGCATAAGCCACAAGCGAGAGGGATTTAGCTCTCAAACGTTAGAAGATGCTTCATTGGTGCTCAGACGAACAGATAGTAGTATTTAACCTGGCTTGTGAAAATCTGTCTGAAAGTGGCATTGCTTAGTGTCTCATCACATCCTGTGTGGCAAAAATACAAACATAATGCTAATAATAGTGTTGCGTTTGCAGGAGATGATGGTTGTTTAGTAACGTACTAAAGATTAAAAGTAGTGAGTAGACTTCATTAAAACCTTAATGTGTAACCACACACACAAATACACACATTTCCCCCCCAAGCGTTTTAAAGCTTCTTATGGTTTTCCAGAGATGGAGGAGGGTAAAGCTATAAGCTAAGTTAAAGTTAAGTTGATGAATGTCATATAATTTAGTTTGGGCGTTTCACATCATTAATACCCTGCTGGAAAATCCATCTCAAGTTGGTACTGTGTTTTGGAACATGGTAGCTGGTTTCTATGGTTCAAAATGGTAGACCACCTTGGACGAACGGACCAGTTGCCTGCTAGACGTACAGGCCTAAGGTGGAAAGATTGATTTTTGGAGCATGGTGGCTGGTCAACCAGGTAATGACCAACTTTGACCAGCTAGAAACTAGCTACCATATTCAAAAACACAATTACAAGCTTCAGATGGATTTTCCAGCAGGGAAAATATACTAAGCATGTTAGGTTCAGTTATAAGTTCAAATATCTCATTTATTATCTGCAGAGGGTTTGTATTTGATGTATTTTGATGTATAGTTGTGTATTCTATAGAATACATTTAGAATATGTAGAATACATTTAATGTACTTGTTTCCACTTCAGAGAAAATATAAAAAGTAACAGTAGTCGCAGGTTACGAGAAATAAAAGTGCAATTGTGAGAAATCACAATTTCTTATGAGATATAGTAACAATTACAAGAAATAATGTACAAATTAGCAAAAAAAGAGAGAACTTAAGTCACAGTTACAAGTTGCAATCATGAGATATATTCACTATTACAATAGTCACATTTATGAGATATAGTCACAATTACGATAGTCACATTTATGAGATATATTCACAATTAAAATAGTCACATTTATGAGATATAGTCACAATTACGATAGTCACATTTATGAGATATAGTCACAATTACGATAGTCACATTTATGAGATATAGTCACAATTACGATAGTCACATTTATGAGATATAGTCACAATTACGATAGTCACATTTATGAGATATAGTCGCAATTACGATAGTCACATTTATGAGATATAGTCACAATTACGATAGTCACATTTATGAGATATAGTCGCAATTACGATAGTCACATTTATGAGATATAGTCACAATTACAATAGTAACATTTATGAGATATAGTCACAATTACGATAGTCACATTTATGAGATATAGCCACAATTACAATAGTTACATTTATGAGATATAGTCGCAATTACAATAGTTAAATTTATGAGATATAGTCACAATTACGATAGTCACATTTATGAGATATAGTCGCAATTACAATAGTTACATTTATGAGATATAGTCACAATTACGATAGTCACATTTATGAGATATAGTCGCAATTACGATAGTCACATTTATGAGATATAGTCACAATTACAATAGTTACATTTATGAGATATAGTCGCAATTACAATAGTCACATTTATGAGATATAGTCGCAATTACAATAGTTACATTTATGAGATATAGTCACAATTACAATAGTCACATTTATGAGATATAGTCACAATTACGATAGTCACATTTATGAGATATATTCACAATTAAAATAGTCACATTTATGAGATATAGTCACAATTACGATAGTCACATTTATGAGATATAGTCACAATTACGATAGTCACATTTATGAGATATAGTCACAATTACGATAGTCACATTTATGAGACATAGTCACAATTACGATAGTCACATTTATGAGATATAGTCGCAATTACGATAGTCACATTTATGAGATATAGTCACAATTACGATATTCACATTTATGAGATATAGTCGCAATTACGATAGTCACATTTATGAGATATAGTCACAATTACAATAGTAACATTTATGAGATATAGTCACAATTACGATAGTCACATTTATGAGATATAGCCACAATTACAATAGTTACATTTATGAGATATAGTCGCAATTACAATAGTTAAATTTATGAGATATAGTCACAATTACGATAGTCACATTTATGAGATATAGTCGCAATTACAATAGTTACATTTATGAGATATAGTCACAATTACGATAGTCACATTTATGAGATATAGTCGCAATTACGATAGTCACATTTATGAGATATAGTCACAATTACAATAGTTACATTTATGAGATATAGTCGCAATTACAATAGTCACATTTATGAGATATAGTCGCAATTACAATAGTTACATTTATGAGATATAGTCACAATTACAATAGTCACATTTATGAGATATAGTCACAATTACGATAGTCACATTTATGAGATAATTACGATAGTCACATTTATGAGATATAGTCACAATCATGAGATAATAGTCGCAATTACGATTAAGTCACATTTATGAGATACACGGCGCAAGTGCACTTAGGGCTTGTCCGAATCCACTTTTGCTAGTTTAACGACAGGAAAAAAGGTCGGCGCAACCGGTGCATGGTCTAAAAGGGTTGTCCCTATTTAGTACTGGGTGTGTTTTGGGCATAACTTGCAATAATCCAATCAGAGTCCCATTCCCTTTAAAAGCCAGTTGTGCTCGCGCCATGGCGGATTCGCTATTTACATGGCAGAATTTGCAAGCGGAAAGACTGAACGCTTCTCTAGCGAGGAAACGGATCTGCTCGTGTGCAAGGTTAAAGCAAGCAGACCATTTACGGGACAAGCCGGATTCCACCATGTCTTTATTTACACAATAATAGTCTTTTACATTGTAATCCTTTTATTTTTAATATTTGGCATGTTTGTGTTCTGCTGCGTGTCCCTATGTGTTTAATAAGGAGAGTGTTAGACCCGCCTATTGGCGCACATATTACTAAAACGCTCTTTAAATAACAAAAAAATACTGAACCGTTGTCTTTAGACCAGGTTTCAGTTGGTCAATGGCGCAGTCTACTTCAGTTGCTGCCCGAACACACCTCATTTTCAGACCAGCAGCCTATGGGCGCACAAATGGGCGCAACTGCATTTGCTATTTAAACAACGTGCCGCAGGATGTGAAAATGATAACTGCGTCCGGCTGAAACTAGCAAGAAACACTAGCCTGGCCCTGCATTGTGCCGGGTGTATGATAGGGCCCATAATCACATTATGATTAAGTCACATTTATGAGATATAGTTGCAATTATGAGAAATAAAAATCTCACTTATGAGAAAATAAGTCGCAATTGCGAGAAATAAAGTCCCTGTTACAAGAATAGGACTCAATTATGTGAAATAGTTACAATTATGAGAAATAAAGTCAAATTTTGTCAAATTAAGTTGCAATTATGAGAAAAAAGGCACAAGTACAAGATAGTCGCAATTACAAGAAATTCTGTCACAATTTTGATATAGTCGCAATTTTGAGGAATAAATTCCCAGTTGTGAGAAATAAAGTCTCAATTACAAGATATAGAGCTTATTTACAGCAGTGCCATCTTTGGACTTGTGAGGCTGTCATAATTACAATCATAATATTCAGCCTATGTTTTATTAATACTGTTGCCAATTGGTAGGCTTTCGCAGTCTATGGTAATATTAATACTTTTAAAATGTGTTGTTTTTTTCTGCACATTTTTTATTAATTTTGTGTGATAAACAATTTTGATTCTGCATTTGGTCGTCACTTGATGTCCAGAATCTGGGTCCAAAACCACTGCTCTGTAATAAATTACTTGTTCAAGTGTGCTGGATTAATTTACCAAATAAATTATACTGTCTTTTAAATTCAGTCTTCTGCTACCGTCAGACTTACTGCATTATAAGAGCTTGGAGATACTGCAGTCCTGCAGAACAAATGAGAACAAGCACAAACAGAGGCACTCAATTATACGGCCTGCCTCTAGCAGCATGACTTCATTAGCCTGTTTGCTAATGAGCTTTCTCATTGTTTTGCATGCACATTCATTTTCCACAGACCAGTATTAGAGAGGGATAATGCGACTTAAACGGACCCTCAAGACTCCAAATGATGGATTTCAGTGTTCAAATGAGTATTAATGAGGACAATATTTAAAGAACGCCACATAGTTGGAGTACATAAAGTTGCATATGTATATAAAACGTTTTTTAACCATTTTGTCATTATTTATTCTGAGAAGCATGTAATTAATTTCTCAACTCAATTTAGTCATTCATTTTGTGTTTTAGTGAAAGTTCAGAAAAGTGACCACCCGCACTGCTGGGACCCCTGTGTGAACTACTGCCATTCTCAACATCCTGGTCACTGCAAGACATCGACATGGACCTCTGCTTCCAGTAACCCCTCCAGCTCTCAGGATTACTGCAAATGTAACCTCAATAAATCATTTTTAAAGTTACAGTTATCCCCTTTTAAAATGGAGTATTTTCAAACACAGTAAAAATACTGCAAATTTTAAATGGGCCTTAAAGTGCGGTCCCACTTACCGTTGTTCTGCGAAATCTTCCGGATGATATACACTCATTTAAAGTCACCATGAAATCAAAATAGACAATTCTCCTCTTCCTTCTACTGTAGGAAAATAAAGCCAAAATATCCCGGTAACGTTCGTTCCTGATTATGTTGTTCGTAGCTAGAGTCCCGACTCAATCTCAAGTACAGCTGACAATCATGACGTTACACCCTGTTTTTATAACATCAAATAACTAACTAAAACCAAACTTATTGAAAAAACTACCTAAAATGACTTAAACTATCTTTGGAAAAAAACTTATTTTAAGTATAATTGGATTTTTTTTTTTTTTGGCTCACGTCCCATTCGATTAAGTTTGATTAAGTTGGTCACACACCTTGAATTTGCCACATTGACCAAAGGAAAGATGCTTGGTACATCGCTACACTATTGACAATAGACAATGGACGTTTTTGAAAATGTTGCTAATGTGACTGCACAATTTTGTAGTGTTGTTTTGTTTTAAGTTTCCTGCACCAAATCAGTCATAATTTAGTTTTCACATTTTCTTCATGAAATCTATTACTCTATCATCCATCTTCTTTTACATGTAAAATGGCATTACGTGAATATGGAAAATTGGTCTTTACCCAGACATCCAACTCCCAGTGGTTGCCTCCAAATCGAATATAACATCATAATGCATAGAGGAGTGGATAGATCTGCAAAGACTAGCAAGGGACCAATAGAATATGGATCATTAACCTGCAGTGAGCCACTCAGTCAATTGGACCATTGCCATCTCTTTGATTTTTTTTTTTTTTTTAAATACAGTTACACTGCCTGAGTTTCTCTCTGTTTTCTACTCTCTTCTCCCTAGCTATAGTCTGCACTAACTTCTCTCCTGGGTCCACCACAACATCGGGCATGACCAGCCAGGGTTCCAGCACGCTGCCCCGGGCCGCTCCTCCCATGAGCCCGCGCAACTCCATGCTAAAGAGGAGACAGAGGAAAAAAGAGCACAAGAGCTCCTGTAGGTGACTGGATCGGTTTTAATGTTGTGATATTTTCTGCTTGAAATGGTCTAAGACAGCATATAGTAGCTAAATTATATCTTGACTGATTCAATTAGAGTTAGCATGTTGCTAAGCTAATTACACAATACTATAATAGTGCATTCAAGTCATGTCGGAAAGATCGTATTTACAGGTTGAACGCACATGAATGCCACCAAAAAATGTGGGGAAACTCAGGATTTTCTTTGAGCCTCCGAGTTAGCGTCGTGTCAGTAAGGAAACATGGTGGACTCAACTAGCTAAGTTGCATGCACAAAATATGATAGAACAAGCCAGTTTACAGCACCTTCATTAATCGAATAAACACGGCATAATCTTAAGGCTAAAGATGGTCAGCACTGCTGCTTTTTTGTAGAAAAGGTCTTGCTCAGACCAAACTGGTTTAAGCGCACCTGACATCGTAATTACAACCTCCCAACTATAAATACAAACTTCTCAGAAGGATTTGAATGCACCATAGCACTGTTAGGCAACATAGCATGATATTGGCTACATAGTCTGTTTTTAATTAGTTTAACTACTTTTTATGTGTCAATTAAACTTTTTACTTACCTGTTAATGTTAGCATATTGCTAGCATATTGTTAGCATATTGTTCTAGTGACTCAGAACTCTAGGAACAACTAAGCAATACCTAGCGCACACAATTATTGGGTAAATAATACATTTTTTAATTAGATTGACCTATGTATCTGTCGATTGAACTTTTAGTTAGATGTTAGCATGTTGCTAAGCTAACAACACAGTACTCTAAGCACTGTTAGAAACACAGTCTAACTAGTCTACTTTTTATCCAACTGTTTTTATCTATCAATAAAACATTTTTTACTGGTAGAAATGTTAGCATGTTGCTAAGCTAACAACACAGTACTCTAAGCACTGTTAGAAACACAGTCTAACTAATCTACTTTTTATCCAACTGTTTTCACTTTTAGGGACTGTTCACACAGAACTCGTTTTTTGCACTCAACTGCACTGCTTTTCCATTGTTGTTTTTTTGTGTGTGTAAACAACAGCTTGTTCGACCATTGCGTTTGTGTCTCGTGCATGACACAGTAGTTCAACTTTTTTTAAAATGCATCTCTACACCTTGCAGTTTTTTTTTTCTAATTCCATTTCCCTGTGCCTCGTGTTTTTAAATGCAAAAACATGTTCTGTGAATGGTCCCTTAATGGGTTAAATCCAGTACATTAATGATACTTCTGTGGTGATATTTCTGTCTTTTTAGCCGTGTCTTTAGCCTCAAGTTCTGTGGGCCCTGGTGGTCAGATAGTCCACACAGAGTCCAGTGAGGTCACTCTGAGAGGAGACCCTCTCAATGGGTTTGGGGTTCAGCTACAAGGTGGAATATTTGCGACAGAGACCCTCTCTGCACCCCCTCTTATACGCTTCATCGAGCCGGACAGCTCAGCCGAAAGGTACGTCTCAAACTTTAACTCAGCCGTTATATCCATGCTCAATCATGCACATATAAAAACACTATTCGGTGCCACAGCAGACTGAGGATCCGTTAAAAATGCAACCAGATTTTGTAAAGACTTCTATATTTTTTTAAAGATTATGCCGTACGACAGAGCCGGCTTGCACTGTCTCGGAGAGAGGTGCTTGAAATGATCAAGCTGGATGTGCGTTGATATTACCTCAGAATCTGGGTCAACACTCAGCAGGAGACTCACACAGCAGAAATCACGCCTTTTATCAGCTACGTTTAAGAAAGAGGCATTAATTTTTAATATATTAAGAGACTGGAATGTGTCACTGTCGCAATTTGTGTTAAAAGGGAGGGAAAAGTTTAGGAAGGGTCTCCAAAACTAAACTCTATCCACTGGAAAGAAAAATCACAAAAGAACGTCTTTAACATCTCATCTGAACGTTTTCTTAGACAGCTTTGATACTAAATGGAGAGCAAATGGATCGTAGCTTACAGTATGCTTCTCAGATGTTTCTCCTGAGAAAAAGACCCCAGTAATCTCACGTCACACCTAGAGTTTCATAAGAGATCTCAATGATGTCTCAAACAGCTCTTGGATTTGCCAAGATACCCAAGTCTTCAATCAGAAGTGCAAAATCTCAACATTTCTCATCAGATTGTTCTGAGAGCAGATTATCTGCTCTATGCTAGCCACTTTCATTTTGCATGTCAACAATTGTCTCATTTGGGTCTCTTTGTGTTTGTCCAAAGAAATTTGGGAGAAACATCTGAGACTGAGTTGCTACATCAGCAGCTTTGTTAACTTTTACTAACATTGTGTTAACTTTTACTAACATCACTAACACATGTTTTGCTATGCTACAATTTGGTTAACTATAGCTCTAAATGCTTCTTGCATGTCAACGATTGTCTCATGGGTCACTTTTTATTTGTCTAGCAGAATGGAGAAAAATCTGAGGCGAAGTTAAACGAAGTTAACGTTTGCTAGCATTTTGCTAACTATAGCAACAATTGTCTCATTTGGGCTCACTTTTTAATTGTCCAAAGGGGATAGCATCCGAGACAAATATGCTACATCTGCTGCTTTGCTAACTTTTGCTAGTGTTTGGCTAACTATTGATCTCTCTAAAACTCTTTCTTTATGTCAATAATTTATAGGTCTCTGTAGGAATTTTAGGAGAAACATCTGAGACTAAGTTCATACATAGCTGCTTTTTTAGCTGTTTTGCTAACAATTTGCTAACTTCATCCACACATTCTCTCTAATGTCAGCAAACCCGGCACAAGAAATGCCTCACCATGACAGAGTCAAGCTCTACTTTTATTTGCTGTCACTGGATGAGACCCTAAACAAACTCACCATATATATTCAAACCTGTAAATGTGTCCGTTTCTGTTTGTTTTTGTAGCTCAGTGCGTGAGTCAGTCCCGGTGTGAGATTGTTGTACCATGAAGCGAGTGATCTGATGTGTGTTGAGCTGTATTGTACTGTGGCAGTGTGTGACATTTGTGGTGTTTGGCCTGGAAGTCACTGAATGTCAGGTCAGTTGTTGTCATCCATACATACACGGCTTCCCTGCTCGTGTTTGATAAAATCTCCTTTATATATTGACATTAGTTTTGAACAGTCAGACTTGTGACTATTTGCATGAAGTCTGGTCCACTTCACACCTTATTTTGGCCAAGAACCGCCCAATTGACCTATCGGTAAGCCCATGCCCCCCTTACTGTTGCGAACTCGGTCAAACAAATGGAGTTGCTAACTGTGATTCAATGACAGCTGTCAGTCTGAAAACCTTGTCCCAAGATAAAGATATGTTTTTGATAAATTTTGGACACAGAATGACCACCTCTCGTCGAGGAGCATTCACGTGGGACTTAAATATGCCATAGAGGGATATGTAAAAGGTTTAAAAATAAATACGGTAGGTAACAAGATTAATTTGGAAGCAAGGGTTACAGATGGCAATGCAAGCGGGAGAAGCCTCATGAACAACATGCAGGATCAACACTGTTCATGTACCACAGGCTAAGATTAAATTAATTTACATTTAACCAGTTTAATATGGAGAGGCACTGAATTGTAAACCAGTCTGTACATGACATGAGAACAGTTAGCTATTTAGGTTTATACGTTAGCATGGACTCACTAACTTTAATTGTAACTTAATGAGAGTGTGACAACCAGAATATGAACGTTTTGGTCTTGATTGGGTTTGGGCTTGAATCCTTAAGGAACCAGCGTACTGCGCCCACATCATTGGATTAACACACAGCTTAATCCAAAGCAGTGGATGCTCTGTCTTGTTTGGGTTTAAGAAATGTAATAAAATAAATTCCATTGCCATCCTCTCAGGACACCTGGAATCAGTGTTACAAGTTCCCCAGGCACATCATTTTACCATTTTTTTTAGCACAAAAACTGTCAAACCCATGAGTGCTTCAGGTCTTCCAATGTTTCTCTATGGCGCTGAAACCTAAAGAAGTCTGAGTTCCAGTCCCCGTGCAACTGATACTCAACTCCCATTGGTTCATCTGCATTCGAGGGGAGGGGCTTACCGATTAGGTCAATTAAAATCAATCGCTGGATGAAGGAAACAAGAAACAACCAATATTTCTAGAGCTTTTTAGTACTTCTCTCGTTTTGATTGGCAGGTGTGGGCTTCTCCAGGTTGGAGACAGAGTCTTATCCATCAATGGAATTCCGACAGAAGATGGAACGCTGGAAGAGGCCAATCAGCTGCTCCGAGATGCTGCTCTGGCCAATAAGGTCACACTAGAGATCGAGTTTGATGTGGCAGGTTAGTGAGCTTTCCCGTGATTTCCACTGAGAGTTCACAAAACATGAACCATTTCAGTTTCTATTGGTATGTGATTGAAAATCGGTATTTGTGTTTCAACATAATTTATTACTTTTTTTATATACTCTTTGCTGTATGGCCAGAATCTGTTGTGCCTAGCAGTGGGACTTTCCATGTGAAGCTGCAGAAGAAAAGAGGAGTGGAGCTGGGCATCACTATCAGTGGTAAGACCTGAATACTCACTCTTGACATCTGGGGATATTCTTCATTTAGTTTGGTCCACATTGCCGCATAACTTCTTTTTGCTTTCCTGATGTTTTCATTTTCATTCAATTCCCTTTTAATCTTTTTTGGGAGATTTTAAGATCCCTCTCTCCCTGGCCTATTTTACCATTCTCCGTTTCACTCTTCAAACTCACAGGGATGTAGTGAAATTTGATACCCCTAAAGACATGGAAAATAAACCCCATACAAATGTTTTGACATCCACTCCAGTTGCATGTTCTTTGCCGCCAAACACATGGAGCGTGTTCATATCCAGACCACCCGATACGGCACATGCCATCTCGTCCATGTCACGAAGTTAAATTAGCCCTGATAAACCGAGACACTTCTCTGAGGAAGTGTTTACGCTGCTCTCCCGGGCTTTCCGTGGGCTTGTTTACTCGAGAAGAGCTCTTGCGTC